AACTTTCTCGACCTGCCTGCGGTCATTCCGGTGGGGTTGGAAAATATGGAAAAATGACAGGAGCGGGTTTCGTGACGGCTTAAGCGTTGTCCCCGGCAACAACTTGACATATTTTCTTATTGAGTTAAGCAACAAAACGGAAAGATTTCCGTCAGATGATGTTCACTATATACTTTATCAATGTATATAAGGACAATTCGAGGACAATCTGTTAATCTCTCTACCAAAAGAAGAGAACACCTGTGTGAACGCTCACTAAGTCGCTGATAAAATGAGAATTTATTATGGACGACCACTTTGAACCTTAAATTCTCATTGTGTGAATATTAATAATAATCATTTCTAATAAACAATAAAGATTCTGCTTATCTCCAGCCCGAAGACTCTACTTTATTCACATTTAAATGTTCTGCCATTGTCTCCCAGCCACTCGAATTGGATGGCGAATGGGATGGGGCAGGAGGAAAAGTAAGCCAGTCGATGGCATTATTGTCCCCAGCTTTTCTGCTGGGTACAGTAAATAATGCTTAGGAGTTGGCCAGTGCCAGCATTGATGATCCTTGTTTATGCATGCAAATCGTGAGAGTTTTCCCCGATTCAAATTGCCCGGAATAGACATCAACTTTGATTCGTTCTCAATAAGCATTTGGTTCTATAACAGCTTGCGTATCTAGTTTAGGCATTAACCACTGTGCCTGGTAATTGCCTGGGAAAATTGAATTTCCACGGAGACAACGTCGGCTTGACAACACTGTGGTCATCTCAAAGACTCCCATCCACCCGTAGAACACCCCATCTCCTTGCCTTCTATCCTGGCATTAGGATTAATCAGTAGACTTGACATTTAATTGTTGCTCTCACAGGGAGCTAAGGAAAGGGGGCCAGCGTAGTGCCTGCCTGCCTGGTAGTCTGTTAGTTTGGGTAGTCCATCATTTGCCGGGTCCATGGGCGGGGCTAGATTTTATGGGTGGGGAAAATAGTTGAAGATGATTTAAGGCACAATTTCCATTATGTTTGAGCAAGGATTTTGCCCTCCAAAAAGGCGGTTAGAGTTAAAAATTTAATTGGTTCTATTTTGTATATTTTGCAATTACATATTTGAAAATTATTTTGTAGAAATTCGCTTATTGGTTAACTGGATTTTAAATTAAATTATTAATGACTTATATATTTGAACATTTTTAATGATTTTTTAATGCTAATTTATGTAGAACAAATTGTAATGTATGTTAAAATATCTGTTTGAAAAAAGTTTTGCAATGTAGTAATAAACGCATTACATCTTTAAAGAATTTTAGATAAGGTTACTCAGATATTTATTAACTTGCAAATTATAATCAGGAATATTTTTTAGTATGAAAGTTAATTTATATATATTTATAGTATTTAACTCCTTACCAATATAAACTTTTAGCTTATATTTCTGAATGAAAGACATAATCAATAACCGTTAACTTAGAATTCCATTACTTTCACAAAAATACAAACTAAATCCGAAATTATTCTCAGTGTCTATGTGTGCTTTTGGGGTAGTGGGGTTGTGTGATGACGGACTGGGTATTTGGCATAGACCTTTAAATGCATTCTGTGTGCGCATGTTAATTGCATGGGATTGGGGCAACGACAGCAGCCCGCAGCAACATCTTTCAATTTGTCTTTTACAATGTGATTTATATGCTAACAGGGAGTGGCCAATTTGTTGTACTGCAAGTTCGAGTTGTTGCCTTAAGTTGGAGCCTTTTTTATTTGCTATATGTGTGTGTGTGTTAGTTTTGTTTGCAGTTTTTTCTTCCTTTTTTTTGGGGGGCGGCGGGGTAGAATGGCAGGAGTGTTTGTTCGACTGCTGCGTGTGCATGCAAATGACTTGTCAGCTGACAACGGCAACAACCAAAATTGCTGACCATGTAGCAGAGTGTCTGTGTGTGTGTGCGTTTGTAGATGTGTCTCTGTGGGAATTGTGTATCTTGCCAAACCAAAAATTTGCACATAAAGTATCCCTGACAGCAAAGTTTTCACTTGTAAAACTTGCACGCAACAAGACGGAGGCCCACACATACTGCCAACTTTTCTCTGCCTTTGCGGTTTTCCCAGCAAGTGCGTTGAAATAAATTTGACTTAGGAAACGAGCAAAGACAAAAGCAACAACACGACTCAATTACACATCCTTTAAGGACACTTCAGGTTCCCTCGCCTCTCTTCACAAAGCCATAATTTCACACTACGCCTCGCCGATTCAATGTTTGTTGACAAATTTAAGAGCCTTTTCTTGCATTTAAGCCGCTTTGATGTATGGCTCTCACTTGTTTGTTTGTTTATTTATTTATTGATTTTCGAAGCGACTGCATCGGCCGACGCTTCATCGAGCCACTCTACCGCCACCTCCTCCACCTCCTGCTGCCAAGCGAAATAATCAACATTTTTTCTGCCATTTTCCCTGTCACTTGGCTTTGTCTCTCTGGCCTGGATGTGTGTGTATGTTGCGGTGTGCGTGCGGTTGGTATGCAATTGAAGGTGACACTGAAATTTGCATAATTCTGTTGTCACATGTCGCATACGCCATGTATGATAGCCGCAAAAGGCAATCGACAGAAAATAAAATCGACTGAATTGCGGCCCAAACTTGAAGGTTCAACGTTTGACTTTAAAACGCTGCAAGTTGGTCTGAGCTTTCATTATGTCTGAAAATGAATTAAGTTTCGTAATGAATATTAACAAGGCAATCAATGCGATTGTTTACCATGCCTTGCTCTCGGATAAATTGTAATAAATTAAATACCCTTGATAAAATATCTTTGGAAAAGCAATATATTAAATCATTTTGAAAAAGTTTAAATTATATACTTTAAGAATTAGTTCATGAATCTGATACTATATGTTTAATAATACAACAAAGAGAGCATAAAAAGGAGTGTTTATCGTTTCTATATGAATCAATTTATCCAAACAACAATCTATGCGGCAACTAAAACCACTTATATTAAATAAAAACAATTTCTGGGGTATTTATTTTCATCAGAACCGAACCATTAGCAAAGTGATTTCATTTAAACAGCAAATGCCAATTTATTACCATTTAAATTACAGTCATCGAATAGCCAATAAACCACTTTTAATACGCCAAAATAGTTATGTAAAGCGATTTTCGATTAAAATTTATAAGGCTAGAGAGTCAGTTTGAAAGGCGTATAAAAATGATTTTGCAATTTATATTCTCGAGTTTATTTGCGGGATAATTTCCCTTTTCTCTTTTATGGTCTATCCCCAGGCAGATAGATACTTGATACTTGAGCCATGACTTTAACGGCATTTTAAAGCCAACAGAAACTTCCCTTCCCCTGTAAACTATACGAAATTCATTTGACTTTTGCTGACTCAACAGTTCAATTGAATTTTATGCTGTTGCTCGGCGCCTCTTGACTATGAAATCTAGATTACAACTTTTGGCAACAACTTGTGGCCAACGTAATTACAAGCTGCCAAATGACAACCATAACATTAACAACAACACAGCAGAAACAACAAAGGCACTCTGGCAAAGTGACTGACTGACTGAGAGAAGAGTCCTGGCAATGTCCTGGCAACGCTCGTCTTTGTCGTCCTCATAATGAAGCCATAAATTTCAAAAGCAAAGAGATTAGCGAAAGTGGTCGCCATCGTCTGCCTTCATCGTATTTTATATATATATATATACTATATATCGTATATTTATTTATATTGCATGAATTTTAAAGCCATTTATTTAGATGTCAAGTTAAAGGCACAGTGGAGCGTGTGACGAAAGTATGGCAAAAGTTAATGCACTTGCAATGCTGACAGGACCTTGGAGTGGAGTGGAATGGCTGATGCAAGCATTTATTATTTACACTTGTAAATAAATATATATGTGCTAGTGTTTATGTTGGAGGGGGCTGGTCACTTAGCAGCGGGAATTGCACATACATTCGCATTTACACTCCAGTTAACACCCCAGGGACATTGGCAGTGCCACTGAGTACAGAGAGAAAAATAATAACAAATGAAGAACGATTTGGGAACTCAATAAGGAATTATAATTATATTTTAAATCTTATTTTATAAAATCAATTCAAGAATTGCAATTTCGTTTTGAAAATATCATTTGGTAGAGCTTTTAGGGGACTAAAATTGAATTTGTTTTTCTAAATGTAACTTGTAACTCGAAGGAGCTACGCAATTTTCCGAATGCTGCGTTGCACTTTTCCGCTTCGCACATGTAGATGTACTGGTGGCACTCTCCTGCAGTTTATATAGATTATATACATGGATTTGTGAAGCAAATTTGTATTTATGTTGATGGCCGGGCACCCATGACACTCGCTTTCTCTGGTCTCCTGGCTTCTGATTCCTGATTCTTGATTCCTGACTCCCAGCACATTATGTGCCCCATTTAATGACTATGTGTTGCACGCACACACACTCGCACATACTCTCGCACACACTTACACGCCCAGTGAACGTCAAGTGGCAATTTACATTAGTTTTATTGTATACGAAATTAGCAGCATTTAGCATTTAGCAGTGGCAGTAGCAGCCGGCAAAACTTTTGCCTTTCGGCTCCATTCACTTCGCTATATATATATATATATGTGGAGGATATATCCTCATCCCAAGTCAAGGGCTTGTATGTTAGATTTGTTTGGTTGTGCGGCTGCACTGTCGCACTCGGCATATCAATTTTGCCGCCCAGCCACCTACAACCACACCGCCCCTCAGGACATTTCAAGGTAGGAAATCGATTTTGTTAATGAAAACGAAGGGAAAACTTCAAGGAGAACGGAAACCCAGGGGATCGGGTGTCGATTGAAGCGAAAGTTCTGATATTTGTCGGGGTGGGGAAACAATGGCCAATCTGCGTGATAATGGCAATCCCGAAGGTTTATCGTGCATCTGCTTTCAAGTTATTTCTTCAATTCGCCTGAAAGTATGCAATTGGATATTTAGTTTCTAGATCCTGTGTACTTCACTCAATTCAAATATATGACTCGTGTATTTAGTTTTTATTGTCCAATGTGCTTGCTCTCAAAACAAAGCCGGCCTTAAAATAACTTCAGAAAATTAACAAATATATGTAAACAATTTAAGGCAGACTTTTCCTGTCGGAGCAAGAGAAACGAATGCAGATGAAACAAGAAACCAAAAATTTTCAATAAACTGAAGTGAAAATTGCCTCTTGACCTAGACGAGATGACACTCGTTGACCAGGACGACATCATCCTCGACCACCTCGCCGTTACGATTGGCATGATGCTCGTGGTGAATGGGACAGCTGACGATGAGCTCCTCCTTAGGCTCTGTCTTTTGCATATCCTTTTTAGGCTTCTTGGGCTTATCCTTGGAGCTCTTTAGTTTGTCTTTCTCTAGGTCTAGCTCTAGATGATCCCCCAAAAGGCGATCAATGACATCGGGATTGCTTCGCAAAGCCAGATCCATGGCACCATCAAGGAACTGATAAAGGGGAGAGCTAACGCGATGTAGCGGCTCCTTTGGTGGCTCCACCAAAATATTCCCCTCAAATGGTGGCTGCAACAGCTGTTGCAGCATGTAGAGCATCGGTGGCAAAGCCGGCGAGGATTTGTGCTTGTGGTGGTGCTTCAATGGAACTGAATTATGGAGGCCGCGTGGAGTGTTCTCGGCTGCATTCAGTAGGAGCACTTCGGCCAATTCCGGTGGCAGCACTTCCGGCCCATAGTTCAGCTCCTGCTGCACACTCTCAATCATCATGTTGGGTGCCAGCAGCTCGAACTCCTTCATCTCGTGTTTGCCATCCGGCGAGACCAGCTTGTTGTAGTACACATAGGGATTGGGTGGATGCGGTGGCTGCGAGGTGGTCACCACTTCCCCCGGTTGGCGACGCTTGTGGTACAATTGTCGTGGCTGCACACTCTCGTCCATCAGGCTACCCAAACGCCTCTTGGGGCGATGCAGCCCCATCATATCCTCCACCAGCTGGAATTTCCCAGCCTCCAAAGGCGAGGATGTGGATGTGGATGCCACAACGGCAACTGCTGGTGATGTGGTGCTGGAGGCAGCGGTGGTGGCATTCATGTTTTTTCCATACACCCCCGTAGTGCGCTTCGGTCCAGCTGTAATCTTCTGCTTTGAAGATGTGGTTCCAGTGGTTCCAGTGTTGCCAGTTGTAGTAATGTTGGCCACCAAGGTGGCCTTGCCGCTCAGTGAAGCATTGTTGCCCATGGTAGTGGTTTCATTATAATCACTGGCAGTATCGCCCTGAGAACGCTTCATACGCAGGCAATCGCCCAGCATTGGTCCCATCAACGTCATCATCATGAGGGCACCTAAACCAAGCAATAAAAGGTGAGTACTATGGCCACAGGAATAAAACTATATATTTCATTCTCTTTGATAAACTTACAACCAAAGATCATCAAAGATTTCATATTGTTGAGCGTTGACTTGTAGAGCTTTGATAGGCAGCGCTGTGAAAGACAGATGAATCGAAAACGTTAACCTCAAAAATTGACCACAATTATTTTCGATGGAATATTTTTTGACCGATTTTATTTTTTTGTTTTTCCGTTTCCACTGGAATAGTTACAATTCGAACTTACTTTATTTGATTGGAGTGGGTTAACGTGTGCTCGACACAAAGTTTGTACTGAAAATGATTCGAAATGCTTCCTGCCTCATGGCGAGGCTTTGACAGACAGCGAGGTAGCTGGTAAAAGGTTACTGAGGGCTCAAAAAATACAAAAAATCGAATTTCAATATTTTTGTGATGGGGATTTTTCCTACTACACACACACACTCACACTACCATTTGTGGCGACCTTTTCAAGTGCTGCAAATGGCAGCAACAGCAACAAAAAAAAAAAACATAAAAAAAAACCGCGCACACACAAAAAGTTTGTTTCGTGAGCCGCAAACAAAAGCAAACAGTGGAAAAAGTTTAGCTTATAAATTTCCAATCAATTTTTCGTGCAAAAATCAAGCGCCCTCACACTCGCCCACACACACACACTCAAGAGCTCATGCATATAGTGTGTCTGTGCAAGTGTGTGTGAGTAGCTATTACTTGATTAATAAATATTAGCAGCAAAAATTGGAAAATTCCCAGCGAAGCGTAAAAATGCAAACACCCAAACGGAAATGCGATACATTTGCGAAATGGCAGAAGCATTTTCCAAAACACCGATGCCTTCCCACGCACATGCACACGCACACAGGCCAGCCCATTTTCTCGGTCTAATTTTGATACCCTGTTATTATAAGATCTAGGGAGATATACTATCTTCATAGGATATATATCCTATATTTTCAACGACAATTTTAAAAAACCCTTTATTAGTTTTTTAAGGAATTTCTCATTAATTTCTTAGCTTTGTTAAACAAGTTTTATGTAGAATAAATACTTCTAATTGTTATATAAACCGAAAATTCATTAAGAAATATTTAAACATGTAAAATGTTTCTTTAAAAATATATCAAGTACTGTTTTTAAAATATATCTTAAATCGCAATAGCTTTGCTCTAGAATGGACTACTTAGTTTTCATGGAAAAACATTTTTTTAACTTCTAGTTTAAATTTTTGGTCTTATTTATAAAGAATTCCTTAAGTAATATTTAATAGAGGTATCCAGCTGTCGAATCGCATCTTTGTAGACTAAAACTTGTACTTTCTTCAGCCGCCCTCGGCACGGGGCATTAATAATGTAAAGTGCGTGCGTCAAATGTAAATTCCTTGCTGCCAACTCACGCGATTTCATAAACTTGCGACATTTTCAACAAACAATTCTATCCGCCGCGTCTCCGTGTCTTCGATATGTGCGCCCTTCAAGGCGACTTATCGCTCAGGTGGATATTTTTGGGTGGCAAGCAGGGAGGCAGGTAGGGGAAGGGGCAAATCAAGGAGCCCCGAGGAGAAGGCACTTTTGCTTATCAGCTTAAATGTAAATGCCAAGCGAATGCAGTCGCAGGGGCGTTGCTGGCAAAGGGGGGTGTGCCTGAGCAGCAGCTGTTGCTGCATTGGGGATTTGCACATTTATACTCGCATATTGTATACACACACACACACGCACACCTCCCCCTCTTCCATCACAGCAACTTTTCTGGTCCATCCTGTTGTCTCGTTTTATTTTTTATCTGCCAAAGTTGATTTTTCGAGTGTATTGAATAAAAGTCGATTTTCCCCTAGTGGATTTGTGCGCGTTCGACAAGCGGGGATGTCGGAGAGCTAAGGCTTGAGTGGATGTGCGTGTTTTGGCTTTGATGTGTGCGTTCGTTTGTGCCATGGTTTAAGGTCGTGGCTTATTAGGGGTCCAAAAACCTTCGCCGCAGTGCATCATCTCGGTGGGATTTGCACGCAGACACTCGACAGCAGGTGCCTCCCAAGGCGATCCACTATAATTGGTATCCAAAAATCACGCATACGACGGGTGGGTCAAGTGGATGAAGAGAAAGACAAAGAGAGGCAGGGCATGCTCTAGCTATTGCTTTGATCTCGGCCGGAATCACAGAGAGAAAGTCTTATTAAATGTTTCCCTTTCGATTTGTTTCAGGTGGAAAAACGCTCAACCCACAGTGGCTTTGTAAACTTTCATTAGTTGCCTCGTTAATATTCCAATTGTTGACACACAAAGGAGGAGGCGAAGGTGGCTGGCTTAACCTGTGTATAAAGGAATTTAATTAATAACGTCCTTCGTCCTTTTGCGTGTGCAACGCGGCGTAAACTTAATTAAATGCGCAAGTGGCAAGTGGCAAGTGGCAAGGTGGCACGGGGCACAGTGGCAAATGACAAGTGGAGATGCAGGACCAACAGCAGCAGTAGCACGTTGAGAAATCCAGCTGCAAAGGTTGAAGGTAACACCTGGCCCGACACTAGTTTGTCTCAAAAAAAAAAAAGAAACTGCTCCCCTCACATGTCAAAAATTTTTATTGACCCAAACGCAACTTTTATGGCCACTGTTAATAGTGAAAAATGGTGCAACAAAAGCTGAAATGATGGCAGACGCTTAGACAAAACCAGATGGAAAACGGGGAAAATTGTGGGCCGTGGCAAGTTCATGGAGAATAGCCATAAAACAACGAGTTGTGGCTGAGCGAGTTTAACGCGTTTCCATGTTTACGAGTTTAGTGCGCCGGGTTTATAACCTGTAACTGGGGGCAAAGTTTATTAAGGTTCTGCCAAGTGCATCAAATATGCAAAACCGCTAAAGTTGATCATCATCTTGGATGCTAGATGGATTCGAGAGTTTGACTAGGATGTCTCCTTAGCATAATCGCTGGTTATTGCTATTGGACGGGTTTTGCCAATCAGACTATGCTGATTTTATTAAAATCTTAAGATAAGTTGGAAGTCAGACGGTTAATTCTATAACTTTCAAGGAGTCATTAAAGAAAAATTGTATTTTTAATAAAACCGAAAACTAAGTTTGGAAGTAGAAAAATTATTAGAACTGCTGTTCTTTCTGTTTTACGTTTAGAACTTTCTAAATCTTTCACTCAAAATCGCAGAGTACTTGACACATCCAAAGGGAAAGTTTACTTCTTAGTAACACCTTTAAATCAGCTCATTTACTATGAAATAGTATCAATTTCCTGTTCGTGAAAGAGAGTTTGAATTGTGTGTTTGCAATCAAACTATAAAATGCACTAACATTTCGGGAAGTTTATAGTGCACACGTTTGACAGACGACCGAAGGAGTTCCGCCCACTCACCGAAAATCTAAATCAATTTCAGTCGAACGCCTTTCGCCTGCCATTGATTTATGGCCCACGTCCAAACGTCGTCTAAGTGGAAAAGCCGAACCGAAAAGAGGCGCAACTTTACCGAATTATATTTCAATTTGGCAGCGAAAATGAAACAGAAACAGAAACTGAAACAGGGCGATACACAGAAGTGGGGCGTGGCTGGGGAAAAGATGTTAAAAACTTTTTGACAATTGACTTAAAAAGTTTCCTCAAGCTGGCAGAAATTGACTGCCTTTTGTATACAAATAGGCCGAAATCATTCAGTCCCACACATACATATGGGCAGAGGGAAAGGGAAAAGCGGAAAAAGCCGGAGAAAATGGTGCCGCGGCCATGAAGCGGAAGTAAACACATAAAACGGAAATGAAAATTCAATTATTTCGTTACGATTGTTCAACTTTTTGTTGTTTTCAGTGTGCCAGTGTATATGAGAGAGAGTGTGTGTGTGTGTACTTCTGCCCCCGTTTCGTGTGGCAGGCGGAGGCCAAAAAAGTTTAAAATTAAGTTAACGTGCAACTCGCCTCGTGGGTCAGCACATGCAACTTTCGCTCGTTTTGGCCAAATTCAATTTTGGCTGCCGGTTTTTTGGCCCACATGTATGTGTGTTAGTGTGACTGGACCGAAACGAAAGGGCCACACATTTAAATGCGATTTTTAACAGTCGCTTCACGCACAATTAGCCTCTCGAATCGATTTTTGATCAAAGCGATTCCTCAGCTTCAGCTTTCAAGTCCCAAATGCAGTTAGGACAGTACACTACATGATGTCCAAAAAAGAGATTGCCTTCCATGGGCTTATGGCTGCTGTGGTCCTTGTGACTGCACTGCTAACTCGATGTAGATTGCATAAGGATTTGGAGGATATGCGATGGCATTTAACTATCTACGGTGTAACCGTTCGAGATACCTTCGGAAATCCTGTACAACTCGCTAGTTACACCGGTCAGGTGATGCTCATCGTTAATATTGCCTCCAAGTAAGAGCTGTTTTGAGTATTAACTGCTGTTAGTAGTAAGGATGTCAATATGTTTTCGGAGGAATAACTTATATTTCCGGCTTAATATATCATATTTAACTTAATCCCAGATGCGGACTCACTACATCGCAGTACAGTGGTCTGCGGAAATTATTAGAGAAATACGAAGACCGCGGCCTGAGAATCCTTAACTTTCCCTGCAACCAATTTGGCAGCCAGATGCCCGAGACTGATGGCCAGGAAATTTTAGACCACATGCGCAAAGAAGGAGCCAACATAGGACACCTCTTTGCCAAGATAGATGTGAAGGGAGCAAGGGCAGAACCACTCTATAAGCTGTTAACTCGTCAGCAACACGATATCGAGTGGAATTTTGTGAAGTTCCTGGTGGATCGAAAGGGGAATATCCACAAGAGATATGGCGCTGAACTGGAACCAGCTGCCCTGACCGATGACATAGAGCTGCTCCTCGGGAGATGAGTCCGAATAAATAACGCAACATGCGCATTTGTGCTCAGTGGCTTTCATAACTGCGACAACGAAACGCCTTATCATTGGGGATTACTGTTGCTGATGTTGGCATCACATGCCAAGCGATTTCTTTTTGACGGTCTTACCTGGTTTCGCCTGTCACCTTCCCGCTGACTTCTGTCAGTTGCAAATGGCCAACTTGGGGGTGGTTGGGGTGGTTACTGGTTCGCTGGTTCGTTGCCAGTGAAGCTGACCTTTTGCTCTGCTGCACTTGTCACTTTGCTTTATCAAATTGCAGTTACCGTTACTGCTTGGCTCACGTCACGTCAAGCATCCGCCCAGTGTGACACTATCGGGGGGAGGTGGTGGGTATTGGATAAAGGCAAGGGTACGAGGCAAGCTTGCCAATCGAAGGCTATTCGACCTTGGACCCAACTTTCTTGGAAACTATGAGCATTATAATACTTTCAGCAGCGGAAATTAAGTAAAACAAAAAAAGGCGAGTCCACTAAATTATTGATAAAGTTAGTTTTCTCTCAAAGGAAACTTGCTTGGATAACTTCTAGGGAGTTGGAAGCAATTGGGAAATTACTGGGAAATAATTTTAAATACAATTTTTAAACATAACTTTCAACTTTTTTAAATGGCATCCAAAATGCTAATAAATAAGGTTCCTGAGGATGCAAATGAAAAATATGAAATACAAATATCAAAGCTAACTCTTAATTTTCGTTTAAAGGGATGGAGAAAAGGGATATCGAAATGTCAAAACCAAATTTAAAGTTGGTGAAACTTACAGTTGTAGAATCGAAACCATCCGAGATTGGTTGAATAAAAATATTGATCTTGATTTTGTGTAAGTGTAGAAGGTGAGTTTGCTAAGACTTTTTAGTTTTCTAATAACTGTTTTTATTTTACATTAAAATTAAAAAATTTATTACGGTTTTACAATTTTAAAACCTTTTAAATTCTACCCACTCATATGCAGCTTGATTTTCAGATTTTAATTATGAGTGTTGACTTTGTTTTGCTTTTTGAAAGCTTTCCGGAATTGCATTTTGCACAAACATTTAGAAACCCCAAAAATGTCAGCGTTTGTCTTGAAATTTTCGAAAAATGTGCAATGCTTGAGGCACTCGCATGGAATGCAGCTGGCCAAAGTCCAAGCGGAATCCGGCTAGCCAGGACAACTTCCAGGAATGCCCCAAACGAGTTTTTCACAACCGCAACGGAGCCTGACTCCGGCCATAGTGGACGTGGATGCCACTGTTGCAACCTGCCTTTCGGTTCTGTTTCTGTTTTTGATTCTGATTCGGATTCTGTTTTGGTTGCCACTCCTTGTTGGCATGCAAACAAGCTCTCTTCTGCCTGCTGCAATATAAAAACGTGCCTGCACATTTGCCACATGCTTACGCCTTTCCAACTCTACGTGTGTGTGTGTGTGTGTGTGCGGCTTTCGTCCTGTGAATTTGTATGGCTGTGTGTGTGTACTTGAAACGTTGACAGTAACCGAAATTGCCACAATTTGCGGCTGTGTACAATTTGGCCACTCATCAATCTGTGCGCATGTTAACCAAAAAACCATTACAAACAAGTCAGACAATATCATGAAAAGAGTGGGAAGAACACTTACATTTCCGGTTACCCATATATAAATTTTCCCTTTTTTCATATTTAGTTTATTTTGTTTTTCCCTTCGCTTGGAGATGGAGCATCAGTTGGGTAATTTTGTTTGATGAGCGCATTACGTTTGCATTTTATATTCCGGCTGCCAGGTCGTATGCGTGATAGCTTGCCAAAAGGAGTGGCAAAGGGGAAGGCAAGTTATTACGCATACGCCATGGTGGCCTTCTCGCCAACCTAAACTGCCAGCGCCTCTCCTCTCCGAAAAGCAAACCAATTTAATTTTTCAGCAGAATCGTTGTCGTCGTTGTCGACGGCGGCGCCTCCTGTGGAAAAGCCTCAGCGAAAAAGTTGGTTTGTTAGTTGGTTTGGCATTTGTTCGGTTGCCTGAGTTGAAACTTAATTAACATTTGATTGATAAAGGTTGCACACACCGACACACATACACCCGCACACACTCAAGCGCCATTTTATGCGTATCAGTGGGTATTTTTGAGTGTGTGTGTGTGTGGGTGAGTGTGCGTGAGATTGTTGTCTGCATGCAAATGAAAATTTTCAATGCCAGCGGCGCATTCTCCATTCTCCAGTGATTATTTATGCGTGTGTATTTGAGTCCGCCTATGTATGCGTGTTCGAAATTTTAATTAGTATTATAAATTATTGCCAACGGTGTAGTAATTAAATGTGTGTGAGTATGAGTGCGATAGGCAGGGTTGGAGATAAAGCTAAATTTTAGCCAATTAAACTTGTATGACAAAACGCTCAACCCAGCTTACTCCAAAGTTGCCTCCCCTTCTCTACCCATTTTAAAACCCCTGGAAAATTTAACAGATTTCTGAGCTAATTCATTGCCTGATGGTGGCTAAATATTTCGTTTAAATTTGCATGCTAAAATCACCCGAAATTTTGTGGCATTTGGCATTGATTCGCCTTTGATTTGATTTGAACAACGTCAATTGAATTTGGCGATCTCTTTTTCATTCCTTTTTTTGCTCAGCCATTGCTAAGCAGCTTAGTACGCCACCCCCACCACCCTGCCAGTCCACCCCCCTTTTCCCACACCCTTTTGTCACATGTGTCGTCCATGCAGTGGGAATTGCATTTTTCTTATCGCTTTTGCTAGCCATGCAAATGGCAAATCGCAAATGGCAGATGGCAGAGAGCGGGCAGAAAAAAAAAGAAAGAGGGGGCGGAGTCCTCCGAGGACGAGGGATAGAATGACACAAAGGCCACAAGAAAAGCAAAGTGGCAACCGAGCACTGAATTCAATTTGTGCACTGTGAAAGTACTGCGAAATGAACTGGGTTTTCACTCCGGCAAAAACCTGATCTGGATAAGCAATGCGAATTCGTAGCTCGATTTCAATCATCATTTGACTCACTTTATCATATTAAAAATTTATTGATATTCACCCAAAAGACCCATAAAATACTTCAACACATTTGGCAACCACACCCCTCCCCCAAAAAAAGGCAGAAACCAGTTTGGGCGTACCAAAAAACGAAAAAGGAAGCTTTACGTAGAAGAGGAAAACTCAATAAATTGCTTGGCTCGACATAAAATAATGCTGCATTATAGACTTTGGCCGCCCGCGGCCAAGTAACCGCCAAATGTTGCCCTGGAGAGCAACCAGGAAACACAACAATAATGACAACAACAACATCATTGGAAGCAACAAGGAATCGATGAGCATACGACAACCTTGAATGTCCTGCATCCTCGGTAAGTACATTAGCCAGGTGCTTCTACTGGAAATATTTATTTACTTAAAGGGAAAATCTGGAAAGTATAGAAACATTATTTCGGTTCTCTTTTTTAAAAGGGTATTTTAGCAATCTTCTTAGTGAAACATATATTCATTTTAGAAGCAAAGGGATAAGTGTGAAATTACAAATACTTTTAAAGAAATAAAATCAACTTTTTAGATATATCTTAAATCTTCCACAATTTTATTCCTTAATTTCAAACAAAGAACAACAATGTATAAATATACAAAAAATTCTTGAAAATTTCGCCACCACAAAATAAGTCAATGGGTTCGTTAAACGTTTAATTTTGAGAAAAAAGTCTCAAATTTTGCAAACATTTAAAAGAAATGCCGACGAATACAGAACAATTTGTTTACTTTTCAATGTAAACAGAGAGCAATTCATCGCATTTTGGTGGTCTCATAAATGTTTGATTTTCAAACGAACTGGAAAGAGTATGCCGGCATCGAGGAGCGTGCCACCAAAAACGAGAGAGAGACAGAAAAAATGTTGGCTTTATCTCTGCTACGGGTAATTCAAATTGTCGCCGACGAAACAATGACAGTGTCAGATGGAGAATGTCGGATCCGGAGACTTGAGACTGCCGACTGAGGGACCCCTTCGCGAATCGATTGCTATTTATGTTTTATGAGACGTAAAATGATTGAGCCAAACGGAAGGCGGCAATCCAAAAAATGCCAAATAAAAGCGGGTGGTATGGGGTGGTATAGGCGGATGGTTGGGCATACTCGTATAGAAGTGGGCCCGAGACAGCTGCAAAAGTTTATCGCCAAGGCAGACCGCATTAAATGCGGGACACACGCACATTTACGCACATCTCGACGTCAGATAAAGGCGTACGTTTATACCCATAGTGTGCAATGCTTGGGGAGGATGTCCGCTATCAGGAAAAGCGTTTGCCTGACGTTGATGGAGGACAGGGGACAGGGGGCAGGGGAGGCAGACCGGGAAAAGCGTGTAAATTACAGCCGGCAGTTTTTCTCGTTTTTCGGCTCCTGCTCTTTGTGTATATCTTGAAAAGTTTGGCGTGTGTTGTTGTCATGACGGCTATCATCTTAACTTGATGTGGTGTTAAGCATTGTTGTTGCCGTTGTTGTTGCACTCCAAATGATGAACTGACAGATTTTCCCTTTTATTTACAAGTCTGTCTATGTGTTTGCAAGGCCTTGTTCTTAAAGTTACTTTAACACTTTCTCTCTTTTGACAATAATCCCCCAAATTGTAATTGAAAATTCCGTTTCATTAATTAATCTTAATTAGTCAGTTCTGTCTTGTCCGCATTCATCGATCAAGCAAATTCCCCCTAATTTATTCTCATATATATATACATATAGTGGGTTATTGTAACGCTAATGACTAAATAATTGATCGGAAAGTAATCCCGCCGACTGAGCATAGAAGAAGATTCGCAAACCGTAATGCAGCTTTTCAATTTGCTAGACCAAAAATGGCGCTAAGCGGCTTACGGTCGCATGTGTGTGCGAGTGTGCTTGCCTGAGTGTGTGTCTGTGCGGCTAAGTGAATAAAAATCTTTTTGCACAATTCATTAAACGCAAATTATGCCCCAGAGATGGTGCTGCACTGCGCCGCACTGCCCCGTTTTTTCCTTTCCTTTCGTAGATGGTATTTTGTTTGCGCGGCACACGCGAGGCATACGAATTTAATATGAACTCGTACAGAAAGCAGAATCCCCAAAATGGATTCGCGCACACACACACACACATGCAAAGTGGAAGCAAGAGGGAGAGGGAAAGACAATGAACCCGAAGGACACGACTGAATCAAGGTAATAAAGCGAGCCTCTTCTTTGCCTCCAACTTGCCATTTGCTGTTGTGGCGCCTAACAAAACTTTCACCCGCTGGCGGAGGAAATGGTCACGATATAGATAAATACAAGTTGACAGGACAATTTATTGTCACACTAAGCGACCGGCGAAATGCCATTGTTATGTAAAAGAGCCATCGCCGAATGGGTAACGGGGCGGATGCTTTTTGGTATTGCGTATACGCACCATCGGCAGCAACTTTGAAGCGCATTCGCATTGACGTCACGTTGCAGGCGCCTCATCGTGTGAGTGTGCGGATGTGTGCGTGTGAGTTGATTTGGACATCAGCAGGTGCTGCTGAACAATGCACTTAGAGAAAAAACCGATTTCTGTTAACAAAAAGGATAAAGTTGGTTCAGATTTAGCACTTTTAAAATTGTTTATATCCTTTTCAATAGGGAATACACGTTTTTTTCTGTGTTGCACTACCCCATTGTGCCAGTGCTGCCAGTTGCAGTGGGCACGTGCTGAGGATAAGCAGTGAGACCATCGTCTGAAGGACACGCATCCCTGCTCCGGATCCCCCACTGGCCGGGTTCTGTGAGTGTGCGAATCGTTTTATTGCAGGATGGCCATGCAATATGTATAAGCTGATTGCCGGCAGTCATAGCCCAGGAACAAACAACCGACACAATTACGGCCAGCAATCTTAAACAATCATTGACAGCCTCCTCGTGCGCAACTATTTTCCAACAGGTACGCATACATATATACAGGTGAACTCACCTGCCATTTCATCGCTTTTCCCGTTGTCTTTGCATGTCAAAGGAGCAGAGCAGAGCAGAGTAGAGCAGAGTAGAGCAGAGTAGAGCAGAGCAACCATGTGGCCTGCCCCAAAGATAAAAGCTCAAATTGAAATTCCAATCGGGTTCTCCACTCAGGCTATAGCCGGTGCCATTGCTGGTTTTTTATTCGCCTTTGTTGCCCCAGTCGATCTGGCTCTTGGCTCCTGTTCTTGTTTATTGAAACAACGGAGCAACAATAAATTTTGTAGCGCATACTTCAAATGTCAAATGCGGCAGCGATAAAAATTTCTTTATTGTACCGCACCCGAACTCCAACCTACACTAAGGCACAGACGGACATATGATAACATATACTTGAACGTACGTAGATGGCCAAGACCTGCGGTCCAATGCATTCCTTACGGCTTCTCCGTTGGGCCAACTTGGACTCCTCCAAACTGCTTGGCTTTGACAGTTTTTGCAATTTATATTTATTTCGAGGGCTGCACAAACCATCGGATACGCATAAGTAAACCAAACCGAACCGCCTGACCCTGCATAAATTAAGATAATCGCGTTTAGTTTTCTCTGACTTCAACCAAAATGCGGACTGTCAGATACTTGGCTGCATAATTTATGGGCTTGTGAAGTGGCAAAACCTTTCAACCGGCCGGAACTTTAATTTTGTGTAATTGAACTCCAGCTGCGGTATTCCCATAATCAATGTTGACAACTTCAATGGGTTGATGGCTGGCTGTTCGACTAATGAGTTAATGCCCAGGCCGCCCATTGACAAGTTCGCTTTTAGAGCTGCACAGTGGAAAAAGAGTTTAGGAAATGGGTTGCAAGGAAAAATATAGTTCATTTATTCTATTTCTGTTTTCACAAGCTTGAAAATAATCAAGTCCGTGCTAAACACAAATTCATGAAAATTCATGACATACATGACTTTGCCTCTCAGTGTACTCCTAATCCGCGCGAGTAGTTGGCAGGAAATGAAATCTGCCAGCCATTAAAACCCTTGGGAACTTGACTCTCCGCTCGATCATTGAATTGCAATTTCGAACTGAAAGTTCTTGGCACTAACCAGAGGCAGTCAGGATTATTTGCATAAGTATGTCGACTCGAGTTGGAGGCAGTTCATGGCAGCACGTGCTGGCCATGCTTAAGCACACATTGTGGTCCGCAGCCGCTGACTTTGACCTTTGGTCAAACCAGCCTTGGACCTCGGAACGGTCTGGTTATTATTTTAATGGCCATTTGAAGTGGCTCTCTGTCTCTCTTGTTGTTGTTCCTGCTATTGGCAATGACCAGGCCATGATTTTAATGCCAATTTAATATAATTTTTATGCTCGGCCCTTGGCCAGGCTCTAAATACGTGCCAAACGAAACCGAATCGAATCGCATCGAAATTGCCGCAATGATTTGGCGTATTTACTTGTGAGCCCAGCGAAAATGCTGGCATATCATGCTGGGGATATTAAACGGAAATCGATCGAAATGCCTTTTGGTCCCGGGCGGAAGGGGGGATGGTTAAAACCCAGACTGACACTTGGTCAGTTCCGATTTCCAGATGTTTTCCGCTGGAAAATTGTATCCGCGCTTTCGACCTCCGCAATTTATGCAGGAAAATTATTTTCTGGGCAGCCCAGCAGCTCAGGCATTATAATTGAAGGCAAACATAAGTTGTCCCTCTTTGCCGTTTTGGCCAAACCTAATTAAATGCAGCTGAAAAACAAAATAAAACCCACCAAGAAGGCGAGTGCAAATTGACAAACTTTTTCGTTAACTTTTTGAGTGGCAACCGGTGGGGAATTCAACATGTGGAAAGAACATTTTTTAATTAAAAATTTCTCACATAAGGGAAACGCCGCTGATGAGGCTGCCACTCGTAGTTAGTTTTCACTGTAATTAGCCCAGTTGTAACTTCAATTCAGCCACATTTCTACCGCCTCTCATTAACATACATTCCCCTAATTGCAGGGAAAAACTTCTTCCGGGCTGGGGAGTTTATTTTCTATTGAGAAACTCAGACTCAGACTTCAAGCAGCTTTTCATCAGTGTCATCAATCAGTTTAAAGTGAGCGACATAAACAATATATTTTCTGGTATTATGAATTAAAATATTAACAAAACATCCAACTTCCTTTCCTTTCTAGACAGCAAACATTTTTGATTTAGTTTTAATAGGTTTAAAAAAAGAATAACGAAAGTGTTTTGCTTTAAGCAATCTCAGCTGTTAGACTTATGGCTTTGTATAGAGGTGGTTTCGCATCCTCAGGAGCTGGGGATTGAATTTTATTACTCTTGTCAGCATCACCTTCCGGTTTATGTAAGGTGGAAGCATAGACCTCCTCAATGTAGGCTCTGTATATCAGCAATCCCATGACCACGAGCAGAACTAAATAAATAAATCTTTTATAAAATGATTTCTTAACAACTTAATCTGTTAAGTAACACTCACAGACATACGCACACAGGAAAGTAGGTATAAAGTAGCAAATTAGAATTTCGTGAATTATTGTACCTATAAAAATGAGAAGTGCCATAAGCCAAAATAGGAGAATATTCGCCCTGTGTTGCTTTTGGGCCAACAATGCACCAAAAAGAAGAACTCCAGAGGCGGTGATAATAATCGTTTTTCCTTTCGCTGGCCCCGAACATGGTGACTGAGGAAACAGAGAAAAGCAATCGGCGGCAATAATGATGTTGGCCAGGCCAATGGCCAGTTCTAGTATTTTCCACTTGGAACACATTTCACTTCAACAGTTCGATCGGTACTAAGTCCGAATGACTTAGCCCCTTTTTCAAAATAGATCATGTTTACTTTACCAAAATAAATTCAGATAATTGAAATGTAAACAGAGAGCACGACTCTTGACTCGCCAGATCTTTCTCGAAAAGCTTGATTTCCTTTCACAACTCATTTGACACCGAAGCACAGAAGGGCGGAAACCTATGAAAAGTTCATAAAACAAAATGAATGCATAACTAATTCGACAACATACACACTCGTTCACACACATACTCACATTGTGCATTCATGTTTATGTTGTGATGGATGAACTTCTCGACACTTTGTGCATTAGAAAGTTTTACTAGTTTGGACTTTAGTGGCAATTATATTTACATTCAGCCAGCTCTCTCGCACTGAGCCCTTAAGTTTTTCGGCTTTGACGCCGGGCTTAAACAGGTGCCGTTTGCCAAGATTCCAGGGCTAAAAACTTTTCCAACTTTGAGTTTTTAATTAGAATTTGTTTCCACCACCGGAACTTTGGGGCGTTGTTGAGAAATACTCATACCTGTGGGCCAATGCATCACCGTTAATAATAAATAAAATACTTTTTCGAAATTCCACCCAAGAATTGGGGGGATAATTTATGAATATTTTGTAATTAACTGGCAAGAAATTTATCATAAATTTCCATATAATTGCATTTTTATGGCATCAAGTTTTTGGCCAGCCAACGAAGCCATTATAAATAAACGTGACGGGTGAGTTGGCTCTAAAAATATTGAGCCATTCGTGGGTTACTTCCGTATTTTGGGTATTTCTGGCTGGATTAAAGGCTTGTTCTTTTACTTTTTTATTCATAGGGAAGAGTATTTAAAGATGGTCAGAGGAACACTTTTCTCTTAAATTCTATTAATTTGATTACGATTTTTTCCCTTTCTTGGGTATGTACATTTTGCGTGTGGGTTTCTAAGACTAAATTATATTTTTATACTGCCTTTTATTGTTAGCTTTCCTTTATTGTAAATCTAAAAAATCAAAACTTAATATAAATAATGGGATTAAATTTAAGGCGTAGTTTGTAGATATTTATTTATCTTTAGAGGTATTTTGAGATATCCTTCTGCCCCTATTACTTACAATATAAGGTGAGCAAAATGTTCTTTTTTCGTTGATTGTTTTCCGTGCTCTCTCATTCAGTGCCTGATGGCGTTTTAATTTGGTAGTTTATTAGGCGTAAATATAAAAATTTCTGGGAGAACTTTGACCATTAGGCAAGATCTTAGCTCTCGCAGATGATTCACAGGTCACGGGCGTGAGACCACGCCCTCAATTCAAAGATACTGGATTTTTTAAGGAAAAACTTGGCCCTGTGCAAATCTCAAGCTGAGTGCGGCGAAATGTTGCTCATTTATTTCATTTAAATGCGCATTTAAATCTATTTAAAACTCCACATGAGCCAGTCACAAAGCCATGCCGCACAGAAGGCAACGAAATAAAGGGCAAATAAAAGGCAACTGGGGCAGGACAGCGCCTGACATGAGCTGAGGGATTCCTTCGACTCCATCTCCGTCACCCACTTCGTGCCCCATCTTTCCCACTCAGCATGATTTAACGATAATGAAGGTATTTACGAGTTCAGCCGGGAACTTGGATCCCAGCATTTCTTCTTCGTTTTTTTTTTAGCCAGGCCAAAAGCAAAACTCATCATAATCCAGCGGCAGCAAAAGGTTATCCAAAAACACACACAGCGGCACATTTGGGGACTTGTATCTACGTGTGTCCCGGCACTTGCGAGATGTTCTTGCCAAACTTTTTTGTTGACGCCGTTGATAAGGACAACAACTACTCAAAGCTGCCAGCTGAGACTCAGCCTCAGCCTCAGCCTTAGTCTCAGCCTCAGTCTCAGCCAAAATCCCAACTCGAACAACGCTCGGTATGTATTTAGGATTTAGGCCAAGGTGGCTCTGCCAGGCAGCCATCCAGTCAAGCACATTGCTTGCCAATAAAACTCAATTTGCCATAAAATTGTTTCACAGTCAACATAATTACAACAGCTAAAGACGAGCATAAATTTGATTTTCCAATTTACGATTAGGCAGCGAGCTTCGTATTCACTGCCATTTAATATGGCTTAGGTCATGAGCGAATGGAAAATGTACAGAATAAATATTAATATCTAAGAAAGGCAAATTTCATTTCATTTCTGGGGCAAACACCTTTCTTTTATCGCCTTTTTCTCCCACCTTTTGCACCCACTTACATGCATTTTTTATAACACTCCGTCTGCTCTCAACGGAGATCCACCTGCCACTGCGCGGATTTTATTTTCCTGCTCAAGGCTAAAACAGCTATCAGAAAAGTCGGAGAGGTGGCGCCGGTCTTAGTGCTATTTAGTGGGAACAAAAGCAACTTAACCTGGCCAAAATCGCCTTACGCCGTGGTCGACCTTCAGTGGGAAAATAGGTAGCTCGTTACTTATTGCTCAATTGCTATCTTATTTAATGGGTAGTTTAGAATTAAATGCATTCTAAAGGTCTTTAAAAGGCATTTAGTTTAAATTCTACTCAATTACTAAGAGTTTGGAAATCAACAGTCAGTATTAAATATTTTTCACTGTGTACTTTCCGTTGCAAGCGGATGAAATTCGTCACTAAAACCGTCACAAGGGTAAACTTTGGAAATTATGAGGAAAAACCGATTGAAGGTTACTGTGTGGGAGGCCGAGTTAATTGCAAGTCCTTGCGATGCATTCAGAATCGAAGTTTTCTGTTACACTTAACTGTGGCAAAGGTAAGGTAGAGTGAGAGAGAAATAGAAAGGAAGGCAGCCAAATGGAATGAAAGTGCCAGCTCTCAAACAAACGACATGGCAAAGACAATGGCTCACTTACGGCTCTTAGCCTGCTGGCTGTTGGCCAAAATGCATTTGGGCAAGGAAATCCCCTGCTGATTGCCGCTGCTGTAGCTTTGTGGTGGATCCCCACAGCTTGCTGGCATTATCCGAATAATCGCAATCACCAGAAAGATGCCTTGGTATCACCAGCAGCAGCTACAGCAGCAGCAGCAGCATCGACATCACCAGCAGCATACGTTGCGTATACGCAGCGGAATTCCTTGGAAATGCCCGAAAGGCATTTCATTTGCGCCCCGTTTGTGTTGCACATTTTCAATTATAATTATTAACGGATCGCTGTTTGACTTTGGCTTCGTCCTGGGAATTATTTGCATTTGCATTGTGTTCTTTATTTTTCTGTTATTATTTTTGTTTTATAGTTTTTTTTTTTGTGCTCGGCTCTTTGGCGAAATCACCTGAGTAATGCACTTGATGCTTGCGCAATTTCCCTCTTGCATTGTCCTTGCGCGTTCTGTTCTACATTATTTTTCAGTACTCCCACTACCGATTGTTGTTGTTGTTTTAAGTGGTTGTTGCTGAAACTGGGGGCTGGGGCTAGAGTTGGGCACTTGTAGTTGCGATTGCTGCTCTATCACCCCCCCATCCTGCACCGCCCTATTTCGCCAAAGGCAACTTTTAACATTTAATGATGCTGCTTTGTATTTTAATACGCTTTGCCTGCCTGGCATCCTCATGCCACACAGCCCAAAGCCCACAGCCCACAGCCCACCTTCTTCCCCTTTACTTTTACTTTATTTTTTTTTTATTTTTTGCTATCCACGTTACCACATCCCCCGCTTTTGCTACTCTTCAACCAGCACGTGCCATAAGCAGCGCTTTGAAAACTTTTAAGTAGACAAGCCATGTTCGCCGCCGCCCCGGAGGTTTCCCCATCCTTTCAACATCTTCTATTACTTGTCCTGCCTTTTGCGCTTTAAGTTGTCTGCTCAGTTCCAATTTTTCCAGCCGCCTGCCGAGGTGTTTGAAGCAATTTGCGTCGCCCGTCTCTGGTTGCAATTGTCTGTCCGGCTCCTCTCTCTCTCTCTATCTATCTCTCTGGTCGTCCTGGCCACGTCCTTGACAGCAACTCTTCGGCTTGGCCAACTCTCAACCCCTAAAAACACCCACAAGCCTTCACCGCCTCTCGCGCCGTGCGGTGTGCAGATTTTGCCAATTTCACCTGTTGCCTGCAGGGCGCCAAGTGGAGAAATGCAGTGAGAAAATATAAGTATTGGTATGGGCTTGAGTCTGAATCGCGGCATAATCGTAGTAGATATCTTTTTATTCGAATATGGCATTTACAATGCCAAAGAGCCAGGACATATTGGCAATTAAGTCTTAGAAGAAAGAACGATAAAAGCAACCATAAAGGTTATTTTCTTAAAAAAAAAGAAAATATGAACCTCTTTAAAGAGCAATTCTTTAAATAATAATTAACATAAGTTAGATATATAGCATCTTTCCAGTGCATTCCTCCAGCGGTTTCAAAAGAGGAAAAGTTTTGTGGCAGTTTCTGCGTGGCTCTAAGCCTTCTTGTTGGGAGGAATGCGGTGGATCAGTGGCCTGGAAGGGGACACCGCACTTAGGCGGAAATGAGGTGCATGTGCTGGGCCGCCTTTTAATGCAATTCCAATTTAAGTTTGCCGCAGTTTCAATGCATTTCGAATCACACTCGTACCAGCGAAACAGAACGAATCGAAACGTTACTGGATGCGATGAATGGAAACTTTCTGCCACTTTCGGAATCACAAAGTAATTGCAATTTCGAAGCAGAATCGGCGAACAATTTACGAAATTAAGTTCTGGCAAAGTTTCGGCGAAAGGTTTAATGCGCCCACTGACGTGGACGATGCGAAACTTGTCGTAACTTTTCACAAGTCGGCCGAATGGCACAAAAGCCCTCCCCGTGATAGCTGCATCGTGACCTGCTCGAACCGCTTGCCACATTGGGTTGTTGGGGGTCAATCTGGAACACGAAATGGAAAATGAAGGATGCACCCTTCCAAATGCAAATGTCGCTGCATGGGACACATAGTCATTACAAATTAATTTCACACGTGAGTAAGTCGCAGCAGCAGCAACTGAAACATCCAAGCAAAATCAGCCAAGACATCGAGGAAAACGAGAAGAGAC